CCCCCAATTGCAGGCACTGGAGCTGAACCCGGCCCTGCAGTTCGTCCGCCCGCGCTGGGTTCTGCTTTGTGCCGAGCGCCTCCGCCCGCTGCCACCGCAGCCCTACGCCGTCGTGCCCCGTGACGTCACCGTGACGTCACCGTGACGTCATCGCGGCGCCGCAGCAGCGCCATCACCTGGTGGCGACGTCACAGCGCCGCAGCGCCGTCACTGCGCCCCGAAGCACCGCATTGTTACCCCTCCCCCCGCCCCCTTCTCTGCCCTCTCCTCGTTTTGGGCCGTTTTCCCCCGAATTAAAGCAGTTTTGGTACAAAAACAAAAGGAGCAGTTTTGGACTTTGCTCCGCTTCGGGCGCGGCGAGGGAGGGGTTAATGACGCTCCTCTGCCCCGCCCGCGTTACTCTCGACCAATCAGCGCTCTGCGCCCCACCTATCTCCGTCCCCGCAGCCAATCGGCGTCCTCTCTTCAAGCCGCGTCCTTTGCCCTGTCGGCCGTGTCGTTGCGGCGGTCCCCACCCACCCGCCATCGCCGAGTTAAGTGGAGGCCACGCCCCCTTTCTATACCCTCTAAACCAGCAGCCAATCAGCGCAAAGAGCTCCACTTTCTCAGCCAATCAGCGCTCTAGTCCCGCCCCCTAGCCGCTCATCCAATCAACATTCATTCCCTTCAAACGCCAGCGCAGTTTCTCGCTGTATGGAAATACAGGTGGACCCCATTGCTGCACATCGCCGCTTTAAGCGCCGCCTCCACGCCTTTCAACCCGCACAAAACAGGTGCGGGTACTTCCGGTCCGTTCAGACCGCCGCGATGTGGCGCCGCCGCAGCTCCGCTCTGCTCCGCGCCGCTCTGAGCTCCGGGCCCGGATCGCGGCGGCTCCTCCTGCGCCAGGTGCGGCCCTCGGAGCTCCGCCCCCGTGCGCCTGGCCGAGCCCCCGCCGATCCCCGTCCCCTCCGCCGCAGCTCTTCGAGCCGCGTTCGTGCACTTACACCTACGTGCTGGCGGACGAAGCGACGCGGGACGCGGTCATCATCGATCCGGTGCTGGAAACGGTGCCCCGTGATCGGCGGCTGCTGAAGGAGCTCGGCCTGACGCTGCGTTACGCGGGTGGGCACCGGGAAGGCTCGGCCGGAAAAAGGGAGGGGGAGGAAGCAAAAAAGTGACGGACCGGAAACGGGGGTCAAAAGGTTCGACCGGAAGTGGGGAATCAGGCCAATGGATTCAACCGGAAGCAGGGAAATTGGGGCGCTTCCGGCATGGAGGAACAAGGGAGAGGGTCCAACCGGAAGTGGGACCCCCGAGTGCGGATCCCATGCGTGCGCGGCCCCCTCTCACTCCCCCCCC